GAAAAATGCACGAGGTGCGAATTATATCTGTCGTCATACGAAGTGAGGACGCGACGTCAAGACTGTTTATGCTTGGGGGGACAGTGCCTCATTGCCCTTGTTTGAATATGCACGAAGCTCATTGAAGTGATAAGGGGACAAGATAAGAAAGTAAGATTCTCGTTATATGTTTAAATCAATCGTAAACTTTAAAATGTAATTTAAATTTTTTTGCGTGTACGTGAAATAGAAATCAATTTCATTTTACGTTAAATACACGTGTATGATATCTTCAATAATACAGGCATAAATAGAAAGAAAAAAAAATCTGGTATTTTGTATATAGAAAAAGGTAAGAGTAATCTGTATCCTTTCAAATACATAAACTTTTATAAAAGGCTATTTCGAAAATTTAACGCACTTTCAACATATGTCGCGTTTCCTATCGAAAACTTTGTCCTCCCTTTTCATTTCCCTAGGCAATAAATATTCCAAGCTAAATTGTTTTCCAAAGTTACATCCGAGCGATCGCAAGTCATCTCGAATCACAAAAAGAGAGGGAGAGATATTTGCCTTTATACCTGCGCCTTTATACCCCTAGGGATCACCCTTTTTGCCAATCTCATCCTTGAATCCCTTTACTACTAAATCACTATTAAGAGTGACATTATAGCCTTGACAATTCTCTCTCGATTTTATGATTTTCTATGATTTTCTATTTGTTCAACGAGCGCTGTAACGTAAATTAAGATTAATATGCGTCCAATGGCCTAGTAAACACAAAATATAAAATATATAATTTATTTATAAAATTAAATTAATTAAAAATATTATTTTTTCCATTTATATATATTTTTATTTATATAAATAAATATATAAATATAAATCCAATTTAATTTCTTTTTGTATAACGTATAAAAAGCTTTAAAATAAATAAAATTTCAACACATAATTCAATCTTCATTAATCTTAACAGTTTAATTCCAATTTTGATTCTTTATTATTGTCATAAATGTGCCTTGACAATTCTCTCTCGATTTTATGATTTTCTATGATTTTCTGTTTATGTATTCTATTGTATATTATGTGTAGCGCATTTATGCTCGTTCAACGAGCACTGTAACGTAAATTAAGATTGATATGCGTCTAATGGCCTAGTAAACACAAAATATAAAATATATAATTTATTTATAAAATTAAATTAATTAAAAATATTATTTTTTCCATTTACCTTGAATCCCTTTACTACTAAATCACTATTAAGAGTGACATTATAGCCTTGACAATTCTCTCTCGATTTTATGATTTTCTATGATTTTCTGTTTATGTATTCTATTGTATATTATGTGTAGCGCATTTATGCTCGTTCAACGAGCACTGTAACGTAAATTAAGATTGATATGCGTCCAATGGCCTAGTAAACACAAAATATAAAATATATAATTTATTTATAAAATTAAATTAATAAAAAATATTATTTTTTCCATTTATATATTTTTATTTATATAAATAAATATATAAATATAAATCCAATTTAATTTCTTTTTGTATAACGTATAAAAAGCTTTAAAATAAATAAAATTTCAACACATAATTCAATCTTAATTAATCTTAACAGTTTAATTCCAATTTTGATTCTTTATTATTGTCATAAATGTCTTTGAATCGATCACGTTAATTGCGAAAGTCCACGGATACAATAAAGAGGATAATAATCCATCTTTACTGGCGAATAATCCCGTGAAACATTTACTCCTCCGCGAAATAAAAACGTATAGAAAGTTTCCAGTCGCTATCCGTCAACGATGGAATAATCGGATACCAAAAATTCTAAAAGGGTTAGGTTTAGTATTTTCCATACATAGCCGTGTAAATAATCAAAGTACACGGCCACGCGCGAATGAATATTTATGACGACGCGTCATGAATTATTATAATTCTGTTGGCAGTGAATGCACGACGGGTGAATACGTCTCGCCGCTTGTGGACATAATGGCTTAAATTAACGACGGTTGATTTCCACCCCCGGGACGGGGCGATCGAGCATGTACATACTCCGGATTACGTAACAATTGTGAGACTTATGCGATCCGCGTCGCATTTATGTGTATCTCGATCGCGCGTTTTATAAACGTTTCGAGCTAAGTTATTCCTACCCGCGGGCAAATCGCCCGTTTCTCTCAAAGCTGCCGTATAAATCGATCGTTGATACGACCAGGGGAGGAAGCTTAATGAAGTATCGATCATTTCGCGGTGTCGAATACCAACGAGTATATCCTCCTTCCCTTTCTCTCCCCGCCACTCTATTTATATACTATTTTTTTTTATAAACGTAATTACGTGCGGCAAAAGCGTTCTATGATTTATATATGCAAAACAGAATCGTAAAATTGCAAATTCGTGTCTAGTTATACAGACTAAAAGGGGTAGTAAAAACTAAAAGGTACGTGTAAAAAGATGCAGTATATATATCGTAGCCAGATTACATAATCCGTCGTTTTATAAAACGTCTAGGCATTTTATAAAGTGCGGCCATATTCTCAAATCATGGTTGAAAATGAGATATTTTACAATGTGGCTAAGAATTTTAGTCTCTTTATAAAACACTAACAAGCGGCACGCCACATTGTCAAATGATTTATACATTTTTTTAGATTCTGGCTGGTTCATTTCAGACATTTTATGAACTGTCTTTGTAGAACAGCCATTTATAGAAAATTAATAGGTAATTATGTGTATTTCTAAATGAGAAAAAACTTGTATGAACACTTGTTGTATTTATTACTTATTGTATTTATGAATACTTGTTGTATTTATTACAATTAAAGTTTTATAAAAGTAACATACATAAATAAAATTCTCGAAAATAATGTTTGAAAACAAATAACAAAAAGAAATATAAGCGTGAAAAAAAAATAAAAAAAACATTTATTATGACTATTTTAACAAATGTAACATAAAGTAAGATCGGTCAGATTGTAAAATATTTCATTTTCAACCATGATTTGTGAATGTAGCCGCACTTTATGAAATGTCTAGACGTTTTATATAAAGACGAATTATGCACTCAAAAAAGTGGTATTGCAACTACAGCAAAAATTTTCTGGGTGCGCAAAATTAACTGAGATACATAAATGATTAGCAAATACTGTGATATCGCATATGTTTCGCATTTAATCAATCTAAGTGACAGAGACAGAATTTATATCTGAACTGTTTGTGAAATTTAGAAAGAATGTTTTTCTGTGGCGCCTATCCATGTTAAGGCCAATCATACTTGTTATAAAGTTTGACTGTGGTACACAGAAAAAATTAGCGGCAAGAAACAAATAAATATATAATCCTCACATCTAACATATTTGTATAACGCGCCCAATCTATCCAGCTCTTTTAAACAATTTCTCTCAATTTTTCGATGCAGTTTTAATTGGCAGTTATATTTCTCACAAAGAGTGTTCTAGCTGTAGTATCGAAACTCATATTTATCCAATGCAGTGATTAACATTTGGCAATGGGACCTAAATTTTCTAGAAGATATTATTAGAATATTGCTGCTATAAATTCTATATGTAACAGACAATATTCTAACAGATACAAAAAATAGCGATAAATTTTTGTTGTGACACCTAGAAATCTACCTATATCAGCAAGACATTTTTTTGAGTGTGTAATCTGGCTACGATATATATACGATTCCCAACACAATAACCGATAGACAAAGATATAACACAAATTTATTAGAGAAATAAGTGTATATTAAATAAAGTATTATTAGAGATAATTGTTTAGAGAGATACTGGCTGATATCTCGCGTAAGATGTAGATGCTGAATCGATCTAGATGTTAAAGTATTGATGGCCTCAATTGTGGCGCAAAAATGCATTTTTGAGGAATTTCGCAACAGATAATAAAATTTCAACTCGGATAAGAGATGCTTATTGACATCGGTATTCTTCCCGTATATAGAGATTGCACAGTGTCGTTGAAAGTTAGAGCGTACCCGTTACACGTCCCACGACCGAACTCTGTTTCTTTCTCTCTCTCTCTCTCTCTCTCTCACCCTCGATAGTGCAGCCGTGTAACGAGCCGTAATCTCGCGGTAATTTACGAAATGACAGTCCATAAATATTTCGTCCGCAAATTGTGATTACGGGTTTGATCGACTCTCGTTCTCCCTCCCGTCGTGTCTCTTCTTTCCGCTTTCGTACGCCTTAACTGTAACCACGGCCGCTGCGTCGTTTGAGTTTAGCGAATCGCTAAAGGAGAACGGACACCGTTCGACGGAAATCGGAATATGGAACGCGCGGATACGCGCGTTTAGCGAGTAATGACTTCGCGGATTCTCTGAGGTATGTAATGGGAGAAAAGCCTAAGATAAACATGCGCGCGAAATCGAACTAGAAGATTTCCATTAGCGTTCGATTAATTTTTACAGACTAGAAAATTTAATAAATTTCACATCACGCAAAAAATAAAAAAAGACAAAATGTTTATTCAAATCTGGTAAAAAAAAATTCTTTGAAAATTCCCTGATTTTCCAGGTATTTTTCTTTAAAATTCTAGGTAAAGAGAATACTTTAAAGATACAATAAAAAATATATACTATATGTTCAATATTTTGTTAGGATATTAAATATATAAACAGAAATAAATACATATTTACAATATATTTTAAATATATATAAATATATATTATATATTTTTTTTAATTCCCTGAGTTATAAAATAAAATTCCATAAGAATTCTCTGATTTTTTTCAGATCCAAAAAGAATCCCTGAAAATTCCAAGCTTTCGATACTCCGTCCAGCGAGAAAATGACCTCGGGTTGGACGAAAACTCGTCCGTTTCGCGCAGGTCTCCACCCACAGAAGCCGTATCTACGTATACGGTATTGAGTACCTCGCTATGTTCTCCCCACTTTGCCCGCCTATGCGCAGACCGAAGTCATTCTCTCGCTGGACAGAGTATATGTTTTTTTCTAGAGAGTAGACACCCTGCAAGATCAGATAAAGAACTTTACCGTTTCTTCGAGAGGAGTGTGTAGGACTCCTTGGTCGCGGCGCAGATCCTCATCCGCATTTTGCGCACGGCCCTTTTGCGCACTCCTCCTTCGAGAACTGGCATCCAGATGAAGGGTCCCACTCTTCCACCTTCGCCTTCTCCTTTCGCTTCACCCTCTGTACGGTGACGGACGATTGCCGCGACGACACCTTGCCGATCACTTTGCGCCACAGGCGCGTTCTCCGCCCCTCGACGACGACGTGGCGGACCTCGCATTCGACTCACGTCGCGATCGGCATGACGCGATTAATCCACCTCCCTCCCCCTCCCTCTCGTCTCTCTTCGCGATGAGAAAAGGAGAAAGAACGCGCACAATAATTATTTCGTCCGCTCGGCTTGATTTTTCCGTCGCAGTCGCGGGTGAATATAATTTATAATCGTCGAGCTCCTCCCCGTTGCTGTCCTCCCTTATCTCGAGGTCGACCGCCCTCCGCCGCTCGGCGATTCTCGCGGTTGATTCTCGTCTTCGTCTTCTTCCTCTTGCGCTCTCGGCTCGAGAGTCTGTTCGCCTCTCGTCTATTCGATAACCATTATCGAGATAAGAGCGTTCTCCGTGCGCGCATGGCCCGCGGGCTCGAAAGTACTCTTTTGATGGATAGCGCGACGTCTCTCGTTGGTTTCGTGTGCTTTTGGCACGCGATCCAAGATCCTATCATCGGAAGATAGTGATAGATTGCGCGCGACTTCGATCTGATTGCACGGACAATCTATATGTATATTGGACGAGTCTGATTATTTGCTATTTGTCATTTGAATTTATAACAAAGTTCTGAAGAGAGAGATATATATAAGGAGTGTATGCGTTTTATTTTAATTAGATATATTGAATTCTTATATCTCTTTTAAAATCTATGTCTTAAAAAGTTTAATATCCTTTTCTTTTCACAAGTAAAGAGAATAGCGATGTGTAAAAAAATTAAAAAAATATCTATTTCATTTTTATTATTACGTAAAAGCCTTATGTGAATCAATTTTATTAATGCACGATTATTTAAAAAATCCTTATACTTTAAATGTGAATTTAATTTTTTGTATATATATATTTCAACTTACAAAAAATATATAATTTAAAAACACAGAATGATAAAAAAACTGTTTACAAGTTTAATCTTTCACCTCTTATAAATCTTGAATATATAATATACCTTTTCATATATGTGTTTATAAACTAATTAATTTAATTATTTAATTAATTTAATTATTATTAATTTAATTTATTTATTTAATTATTTAATTTCTCCTTTCAAGTTTCTCTTGTTTTTTATGTACTGTTTCTCCCCTACAGCCTTTCAATTTCTAGAGATCTGTTATCTCTATAGATAATAGACGACATCTTTAACATACGCAAAAAGATCGCACGTTGTCAGGTTTAAAAACCCGAATGATTAACAACGTAATAAAAGATCTACCGAGAACTTTAATTTATTACACTGCTTTTATGGCGAAAACAAAACGCTTCTCAGATAACCAACGTAAAACTTGGAAAGACTTCTCGTATCTTACATTTGGTATATATCTAATATTTATAAATTGAAAACTATAAGAGAATTAAATTCATATTTAAAATAGCCACATATTATATATATATCTCTTTTCAAATAATATGCGTATATATATAATAATATTGTGATTCAATATATCTGGATTTCCGTATAATAGCACACTGATTTCAGATGTTAATATTCTACTCGATGATAAAATTTCACATCAATAAATAATATAGCGAGATACTCAAGAGACCGTAAAAAGAAAAAAGTCGTAAAACATACAATATGTACGTAACAATAACAATACAATGTAAATAAAAGTTGAACACCAAACAAATATAAACCAAAGTGAATTTACGCCGTCAAGTTACTTACGATCGACTTAAGAGAAGCGAATAATCCTCTGGGCGAGAAGAGAGACAACGCGCTATTATCTGCGGCTCTTGTATCTCTCGGATTTTTCCGGGAAACAAGAGACTCTCGGTCGAGCGTAAAGACCTTTGATTCGAACGCACGTAGTCTTCGGTTCGCAATCGAGATCGAAAGCACTATCGGTGACAGTTGACCGATTAGCGCACATGCGTATTCGGATAACACTTTACTATCTACAGTATTTCTCCCTGACAGAAATGGAAATTGAAAGCCGAGGTTATACGATCGGAAAGCAGTAACCGAAGTGCGATTGTGCTATTCGACGCTTATCGGCCTCGCATTGTCTTTGTTCGCGCGCGGAGCTTTGATAAGGGAAAATCTTCGGATTCCCAAAGCAACACTTCACATACGTTCGATCGAGCACTAGATCGGCACGTGTTTAAGTCTCTTTAACATGAGAGATTATCATACACACACACACAATCGCGTTATAAAACAATGTACTTTCGAGATTACTCTGTACGATTACGCTCGAGCACACTTGTAGCAGGAAGAATCCTCGTTTAAACGTCGATGATCTTCGATCTGTATATCACATCGACCTGGCACGCGGTATGACACGACGACGCACGTGCGCGTACACGGCACAACGGAACGATAGTGACGGCACGAGACGAGGGGGCATGCGTCGCATGCGTCACGCACGCGCCCCTCCACGGCGTCGTAAGACCCCGGCAGCGGTCGCCGATAGGGGGTAAGAATGAAGAGGGAAAGAGAGCCGCCAGCACGCACA